TATTCATGGTACACTCGAGATCATTTGTCTCAGTTTTTGAAGCTCCCTAGTCTTGATAGGACTTATACATGAATCAAGATCCTCAGAGTTAGTATTAAATGCATTATTATTTAGTAAGTTACCAGTGTCTCGGTTTTTAAGGGTAGTGAGGGTTTCGTTAGGATCCTTCATCACATTGGTTTGATTATATGTGATTGCTCCCCAAGTTGAAGTAGCAGCAGGTGCCGAGGTTGTAGTATCTTGACGATTCCCTAGGGATCATGCGATGTTGAAATCAAGTATACTGGGTTGCAAAATCGAAGGTGTTGTTTCACATGGTTTGTGGATCTCTACTCTTATTCTTTCCATTTCTTTGAGCAATGTTCTGTTTTCCTCCTGTTGTTGATTCAGTTGTTGCTTTACCATCTTCACCATGGAGAAGAGTTTGTTGTTAAAGATCAGAATAGGAGGATCCTGGAATCCAGGGATCCTAGATTCTCATGGCTCATGATCGCAGAGGTGTTCTTTTTAGAGGTATCTGGAGTTTTCCTCTGACCGTGGGTCTGTTTGTAGGTAGTGAAAGATTCTTTGAGGAAATGGGAGGAGTAGAGGAAGAACATAAAGTTGGATGTGTAGACATGATTTTTGAGAATTATGAACACCACGGCCCTACGGTGGGAGCCAAATTGTTTTGGTCAAAAATTGATCAAATGAAGATCAAGCAAGTTGTATGAGAGGATGTGGTGTTGTAGCTAATACAAGAATCAAATTGAAGTTAAAATGACAAGAGTGGTTTACAAAGAAAATCATTGATCCTTGTTAGGATCTTAAATCTTCGGAGGTGAAAATCATCACCTGCCTTGTTTGATTTTATTGATTAAAGAATGAATTACATAGATAAGCTTGATAACATAATTAGAAATTATAAAGTGAGTCTAAATGGGTAAGGTGTTAGAGAATTGTGTATGTTGTGTGAGTGTTACAAGTGTATTTATAGTCTAGGTTATGTAACTAACAGTCTGATATTTTCGGGATCCTGTTAAACTGGTATTTTCAACGTGCTTTGACTTGGTATTCTCGGGTTTTAAGCCTGGTTGAGTGATTATTCGTTGTGAATGAGTCTTATGTTGACCATTTCTGCACATGTGATAAATAAACAAGAAATATAGCCATTAAACTTGTTAGGAAATAATAATGGCGGTGTTCAGGATCCTGATGTATGTTCGGGTTCCTGAAACTTTTTTAAGACTCGGGATCCTGGATAGGTTTCAGGATCTTGACCCCTAACACTTTTCCTGTTGTGGGTTTCGGGTTGTAAGGGCTCAATTTCATCCTGTTCATCTTTAGTATCATCCCTATCAAATTCGGTGTAACCCAAATGTTCAAGTGGCTCTCCATGTGGAATTATATTACCATCGTCAACCAACAACATTAGTCTTTGCTAATCATTTACAGGTTCATCAACATCAACTGTAGGAGAAGTATCAGTAACAACCTTACCTTTATAACTAAAATCACCCCGTCTATAGGGCCATTGTAAGAAGGAACCCGGTTGCCATAGGTAATAAATTACAAATTTGGTTACTTCCATCACTAGAAGACTCATTTCCACCAGAACAATTTTCCCCGACAAATCGATAAATACGACCTTCCATAACATTATTAACAACAAACAATTGTATTGTGTTAGGAGGCATACTACTAACAAACTAAAAAAATATCTAACATCACTATCTTCAAGAATCGGCATAACTATATTTGATGCAGGGCATTGAAAAGATAGATGTATTTGATTAGTGTTTAACCTGGATTTGGAAGCAACCAACATAATTAACCCAACAAAGTTGATATCATTGTTTATATCTACATCAAATCATGTGTAGTTTGGAGCAATATATTGTATAAATTCATCGATACGTTGTCATTGTCCTCTACTAGAAACTGACACTCGAAATAATTTTGTATGCATATTTATTCCTAAACGTATAAGAAAACTGTCAAACAAACAAACGAACAACATAAATGGTAGAAAAAACACACAAAAACCCTATTTTTACCTCTCTGGAATGTACGGGGATTCCAGACTGCAGTCCGAAATGCACTTTTCAGTTCGGAAAACACGACGATGTCAGATTCCAGACCCACATCCTACCAACCATCCACAAACTCCGGAGTGAAAATAAATACTCTGGAATATCGTATTATGGAATATCGTATTATGGAATTCGTCCAAACTCTAGAATGGCCGTACGTACTCCGAAATACAATATTCAGGAGCAAATAGTTACGTTTCAAAAAAAAAAAACAAAAAAAAAACAATTATCTTTATTAATAAACTCATTTATAAGAAGGGATTTTCTAATATGTGTCCTACGGGCACATATAAGAAGTATTAATTATGAAAAATATTACCATAATTAAATATGAAATCCATTAATTATGGAGATTATTAATGAATTTTATATTTAATTATGGTAATATTTCTTATAATTAACGTATTTAACATTTAATTATGGTAGTAATTGCGATTAATTAATAATTCTTATATGTGCCCTTATGGCACATATTAGAAAATCCCTTTATAAGAATTAGATTACTCAATTTCCCTAATAAAAATTTAGTTGAAAGTTAAAACACATTAAATAGGGAAACGTTACGCGTTCAAAAAAATTAGATTACTCAATTTCCCTAATAAAAATTTAGTTGAAAGTTAAAACACATTAAATAGGGAAACGTTACGCGTTCAAAAAAATTGGAACGGATTTTCAGATTAACATGTAATTACCTTCAAATTTTTCGTATTTGGTGATTGCTGATTAGCCTTTCTTTATTTTTTTAATTGTAGAGACATTCTAATTTAGGTCACTTATCTTAACCACACAACCCATTGGTGCAAAGCTAATTATGATTATCTTTATCATTTTTTTAACATTGGTAAGACAGCTCACGCCTCGCCTATAAAATTCAATATCTCACTCTTTTTTCTCTTATCTTCTCAACCTTGATCACCAACAAAGTAAAAACCTCCTTTGGAAATTGGAATCCGGAATCCTGGTCTACTATCAGTTATTATAAGCATGATTCGACAAATATCAGAATTCCAGTATTTGGCTCCTGAAGAGTACTCATCCCCTTTCTCCACCAACTTCACCATACGAGATCCAATATCTGTTCTCCATATGAGCAATTTCCTAACCAACATCCCCGAGTACTTCTCAAAACCTCCTTCCTCCGTTAGCAACAACTCGACCTCTGATGAAGCTGACACGCAACAAAATGATATCATAGGCGAGCGAAAACGCAGAAGAATGATATCAAATAGGGAGTCAGCTCGAAGATCTAGGATAAGGAAACAAAAGCAACTGGATGAGCTTTTGTCACAACTGGTCCATCTTAGAACTGATAATCAGAGTATCATGAAGCATTTGAAGCAGTTAGCAGAGAGACACGAAAAGGCACTCGAGGAGAATGAACGATTGAAGGAAGAGACTACTGATATTCGACAGAAGCTTGATGAAATCCAACAACCTAACATAACTTCGGAAATAATTTCTTGAGTTCTAAATCAATGGAAATATTACTTTAACTATATAAATCCATAACAAAATAAGATCATTGTCTTATAACTATCAGCCTTCTGTAACTTGCAAATCAATATATCACTTTCTTGTTTCAAGAACAAAGAAAGGTCGAATTTCTGTTATTCAAAAATCTGGTTGTGTGAATTATTACAGTCTGTGAATTTGTTGAAATGTTTTTACCGCAAGGGAAATTTGATGCATACCAATATCATCAGATAAGACGAGTGCATTCTCGGTTGCTAATGATACTTGCACTTAAAAACGTCCCACTACTAATTATTTGCAGATAATTAGGAGAAGGTCATGACGAAGAATGGGGTAGAAGACAATAATGTGGGGTAAGATGGCGAGTTTTTTAACCAAAATATTGTCTTTTAAATAAATATTTACGAAATGCTTATCTTTTAAACTTATCTATAAGATAACCGTATTTTCTTTTTTAAAAAAATAAAATAAACTGCCATCTTCTAGCTCGTCTAAGAGGAAACGTCGCCTTGTTTGATCTCATCATCTCAGTTGCTGTTGGCCTTATCATCAGTCCCCCATGTTTTCTGCCCCCTCTCTTCGCTCGAGAACCCCCACATAAGCTGCCGGTACCCCGTTTGCCGTGCCCAAGAACCCCCCTCATACCTCCATGAAAAATCTATCTTCCTAATGTTTCCTAGGGAAGTAAAGGTGCTGGTCGCTGGTTCAAGTGGATGGAAAAAACATGAAGACTCAGCGATGGTAACTGGTCGTAGCCTTTTGCGAACAGGCAGAAGTCGGAGAGTAGATGCTCTTGGAGCCTTGGTGGGCTGAGGAGGAAATCGCAATCCATTTCTTTCTTCTAGTGTTTTTAATATAAAAAAGTGGGTCGTAATCATATTAAAACATGATAAATAAATTTTTAAATAAACGAAATAACTAATTTTTTTTTTTTAAATAACCATTTTGTCATTAATAAATCATTTTGGAGATATATCCACGATAAAGGAGTAGGATTCTGGACAATCGTTCGAGAATAGTTATGTTTTTTTATGTATAGCTAATAAAAAAGTTCGGCCGGGTTTGTTTTTTTTTTTTTTTTTGGTATTGTAAACTAAATAAGCTTAAATTCTTTTAATGTGTAAAAAAAAAATAATAATAAAATTAACCAATATCAATAAAAGCCATCTCAAGCCACGACCCAAATGTTTAATGTTTTTTTTTCTTGTTCTCTTTTGTTTCTTTTGGTGTTACTGTTTTACAATTCGTTTGTTTCTTTTCTTTTGAAAACAAAAGGAAAAATATTTAAAAGAGGTAACCTTAAAGCCAGGGAGGATTACTAATAATGGTAAGGTTTAAACTCGGACGGATCATTTACAGTGTGCGCCTTTAGAAAAATGTGTGATTATCAACCCCCATCAGTAACTATAATGTCCAATGGATTAAAAAAATACCATTGAAAGTATCATGATTCAGATGGTGAAATATGGTAGAATTCCTACCGCAACGGAGCTTTCAAAAAGAGGGGTAAACTTGGAAACATTGACATGTCGTATGTGCGAGGAGAAAGATGAGTGCCCAGACCATGCTCTTGTGGATTGCTCTTTTGCAAAAAAAAAGGTGGCTGATGGGATATGGAGGTGGTGTAATGTGCAAGTTGGTGGTTTCAACAAGGTGAACGATTTATTGGATTTTGTTGCTACATGGGGGTCGTGCGCAAAAAGAAGGAAAATTATTGTGGTAATTTGTTATGGTATGTTATGGTGTATCTGGAAGGCAAGGAATGAAAGAGTCTTTAAGAAAAACCGGCTACCACCTGATAAAGTCATAGAAATAGTTAAGTCTGTGACTTTTCTTTGGGTGATGAACAGGGGTAAGATGGCGGAATTAGCTTGGAAAAATTGGTCTCAATGCCCTTTCTTTTAATCTGTCTCTTGTTTCATGTTGTTTTCTCTGCATTTTGTTTTTGGACCTTTTGTTCCGCCACTGACTTGTGGCTGTCTCTATTTCTCGTGTTCTTTTTCTTTTATTAATATAATTTTATTGGCCGGTTCCAAAAAAAAAAAAAACTAAATCTAATATGTACTTTAATATCACAAACTACATGAAGATAATGTAGGTCTATTCAATCATATCGTACCCTCTAGAAACATGTCATCTTTCTCAACGCTTACATTTCCAAGCTAGAAACAAAATTCGAAGTGAACAAAAAAAATCACCAACAGCCAATTCAAAAGGACTAACAGTTGATTACTTGAATATTTTTATTACAAAAAATAGCATCATACTTTCAGTTTTTAGTTACAACATAAAAAAATGGAAATGCAATAGCATAGTACTTTGAGATACTATGTTATCAGCTCTGTCCTAACAAAAACGAAATAAAAGTGCAATGCTAAAATTACATAATTTTAGCCATTTTACCTCTTTTCACTGTTAATTAGATCAATCATTTGCATTTTGCGCATATACAAAGATAAGTTTCATATAAATCAGAAAATGTGGAATTTGTCAATGAATATTAGAAATAAAGGGCAAAAGATCCATACCTAAAACTGTAGATTGTACATTTACGACTTTATAACGACGTACTTTTGTTTTGTTTTTTTTTGTGTCAATTCTATAGCAACATACTTTATAATTCTCCACAAAGATCAAGTCCAACAAAAATCAAATCTGTTGAAGTGAATGGTGAAGCTATTAAAGAGAATGATTTTATCTTTTCTTATGAAAGAAAATCACATATATTACAAACAAACTGAGAAAAACAAACAAAATGAAATCGGCAAAATAAGAAAGTTTTAACATAGAAGTTCGCAAGGACCAAACCCTTTCTTCCCTATCTAATTTTTCAGTTAATTATTAAATGTCATTAAGCTTTCATTTATGAACTAAATATCTTTAATTTTTATTAAATGTAAAAAAATTTAACCAAAATCAATAAATGTCATCTGAAGCAAGGACACAAATGTTTAATTAACTATTAATATTTCAAAATTAACATGAGCAATTTCTTTTTTTTTCTTTTGGTGTTAAACATTTTTAACCAAAATTATTAGAAGTTATCTCAAGCCTAACGAAAATCAAATCTGTTTATCTATCCAAAGATCATATGTAACCATCATCATTGTGTAAAGTGCATCAACCATTTCAGAGTTCCTGGTATGCACCATGATAGCCACTTAGATTTCAATGAAGAAACCAAATGCACATACGCTAATTAGATTCTGAGGTAGATAAGTACATATAAGTAGCCATGATGATGATAGTTTTGAAGGTTCATAGATCGGATACAAACAAGTTATATTGAACAACAAAGGATTATCAAAAAGATGGTTTTTCACTAAGAAAAAGTTATCACCAAGAGAAAGGATGCACACAACGGATCACAAATACGAACACCAAGATCTATTAAGGTTTTACCCTTATACATGATTACATACAAATCTATCTTTGATAATCCCTTCAACCAAGGGATTGATTCTAATCTAATATATAAACGGATACTTATCACCGAGATAGCATATTAGTTATCTAAAATATAATAGAATACTATAATTACATATAACAAAAATACAATTGTACAAAAGATCACACGGTGACGATGGAGTTCTAGAGCTTGCGTTGACACTGGCATCGGCGTTGGTGGAAAGTGTATGTTAGTTCTTGACTCATCAGATCATAAGACTTGACCTTACAATCTCCCATATCTAATGATGTCAAAACTTGGTTCCGAAAAAAAACTTGCATCCAGCTTCAGCTCCCCCTGAGATGAGGAATCTCCCTTTAGAAAGAGATTACGTTTTCCTGAGAGTTTGAATCTCCCCCTTTTTAATTTAGTAGCATAAGTGGAAGCAGAATAATAGGCTAGATGGTGATGTCTCCTGATAGCATGTGATTACTCTATAGATCATTGACATGGTGTTGCGAAGTCTCATCAGCGTATGGTTTTTTACGCTGAATCATGAAGTTCTTTTTTTAGAAGAACAGGGACAAGAGGAGAGTGATGCATGAAATACATTTCGGTTTTTAAATGTACCCATCGACATTTAGTGTCGAAGTTTTATCAGTGTATGGCTATTAAACCGAATCTTTAACTTCTTTCATAGATGTTCCAAATATGCCACGGTACATGATATGCCCATCAACATAGATGTTTCAAATTCTCATCATCGTCTGGTATCATATGTTGAATCCTAAAATTTTAAAGAAGAAATAAGGCTAAGAATAGGTTGGTACGTGTGATAGACTACTATACATAGTCTAACGATCAGCACAAATTTTCGAACTTTTATCTGTGTGTGGTATTACACAGTGAATCATCAAGTTCTAAGTAGAAGAATTATAGGAGAGAGATAAATTGTCTCAATCACACTGAGGTGGAATCAGCGTAAATCATAGACAAGGTATAACTCATCAACAATAAGGGGTTTAATCCTTATATCATGGAGTACTTGCATTCTAGTATTAAATTTACCATTAATTCTAGAAAACATGGTACATGACAAAATAGAATAAACATATAAGAGTAAGCGAAATAGTCAAAAAAGAATAATTCAAAAGGTAAATGTGCAGCTTTTTCAGGTGAATCATAAAGAGCAGATTATGCAGATCCTTTGAATTAAAACGTAATAAATGACTTACCTTCTTACGAGATATGTGCCCCTCAACATCTATCTTTAAATCGGTAAACAAGCGAGATCAAACATGTCAAAACAACTCTAAATACAAGAGGGTAGAAATGTCGTTAGTCGTTGAGGTATTGCAGATTGATTCAAAGCTCCATGTTCACCAAGAACAGAAGATGAACAAGAACTATAACACCTATTCCAGGTATTGATTAATTTATATAATTTTAGGGTTCTGTGCATGGACTCGGCGAGTTGGGGTGCTCCAACTCGTCGAGTAGAGATTGTTATGGGGACGCGGGGCCTGGGTTCTACTCGACGAGTCGGAAGGCCCCAACTCGACGAGTAGGAGTTGTAAAGAGAAACCCTAATTTTTAGGGTTTGCACCCTATTTAAGGAACATAATCTGCGACTTGTGGCCTCCCTTATTGTAACGCCCGTAGATCCGGGCTAGTCAATTTAGAGACGATAAGCATCAAAAAAATGAATTTTTGATGGAAGATTAATTAGAAGGATTAATCTTAACCAATTTGTAGTATATGTCTCGAGGTTTCCGAAAAAATAAAGAACGCCGAAATCCGAGTTATAACGAAAAAGTTATGACCTGTCGAAGTTTCGCGACAAAACCGGCACGGTGCTGAATATCGTAAAAAGTGAGTTTTTGAGAAACTACTTTTTAGCCTTAGTGATCTAAACGAAACTCGTAGTGGTCGTTAAACCGAGAAGTTCGATAAAAAGAACGCCCAAATCTGACTTCGTATGAGGAAGTTATGATTTTTGGAAGTTTTAGCTTAGCAGTAGACAGCTAAAAAACTCGAATTTTAGATTGAGAGATTTTTAGCCGACACGACCTAAACAAGAATCGAAGGTCTTGTCATTTATAGCACAACGGTAAAAAGTCTGACGAAAACGGACGTCGGATGAAGAAGTTATGAATTTTTAACGGATTTCCTGTCCCGGTCTGTTAAAAATAATAATTTAAAAATTAAAATCAAAATTAGCGACGAAGTCTAAACGAAAGTTGTAGAGCGTAATTTTACCTACGCGTGCATATAAAGAACGTCAAAAACGGAGCCCGTATGAGAAAGTTATGGATTTTACAAGAATGGGCATAATTTTCGAGAAAATTCGCAAGGAATGGTGCTGGCCACGTGATCCTCGCATGCATAGCCCGTGCGCAACACGCGTGTCGCTTGCTGATTGGAGCGAGGGTGCGGTCCAATGATCTTCCGAGCCTCGCTGGCCCAATCCGAAGGCGCCGCGTGCCCTTCGCGTGTCCGAACCCTCGCATACGTGTCCTCCTCCGGATCCGACCACGTGTCCGAAGCTCTTGCTGCCGCGTGTCTCGCCTGCTGACTCTTCCCTTCTAAGCCGACCTTCGGACCCCTATATATAGAAGGCATGCGAGCCTTCTCGGCTACATTTGGGAAATTGCCATTTTTAGCCCCTTTCTCCATATTTTCTTCATCTTAACCTCCCCCGATGCCCCGAGATCATTTCCAATGCCCGGAACACGTCCCGGAGTGCCCGAGAAGCCGGAAAATTTATCTTTTCGGTTTTGAAGCCCGACCCTTCGCAGAGCCCGATTTCTCAATAAAACTCCCCGTTTTATTAGAAACGATCGTTTTAGGCAACGAAGTGCAGCCCGATTATCGTTAAATCAAGTGAGTGTATAGTCACTTTCACCTTACACATATATATAAAGTATTTACCTTAAAATACATGCTATGTGTAAATATATTAATTGTTTATTTGAGGTGACTGTTGTGTTGATATTTTATACAAGTTTTAAACTGTATATATATATTTTTTTATCTACAAATATGTTGGGTAGAACATGGGTAGATAGTTGATGTGTGATGAAATAAAAGTGATGAGAGGTATCGATGTTTAAGATGGTCTAGTCATCTAGTAGAGTATAGATAACGACCACAGACTATTTTAGATAGTCTAGTGGAACGTTAGTAGACTTGTAATCGGTACGTATGTTTGAACTATATTTTCATAAAGTGTTCTTGAACTATATGTTCCTTAGGTGTTTTTGAACTATGTGTTCATCCGTTAGTTCTTCTTTTTGACACTATTACGTGTCGGGGTACGGGAGCATATGGGAGTACTTTATTAGTATTTTCCCTATGCTTTTATTTTGAAGAGATTTGGAGTCTTCGTTTCTTTTGTGAAGTGATCGGACGAGCTTCATGAGTCAGTGTTTTCTTTTCCGATGCCGGATAGGGCTGAGTCTGGGGGTTCAGACCACAGCCTAGGCATTAGTCAGTGTTTTCATTTCCGATGCTAGAT